ATGAATTGGGCAACATGTGGACGTTCCGGGCACCATGCCCGGGCACCATGAGCCGGGCAACATGTGATGTTCCGGGCACCATGCTCGGGCACCATGAGCCGGGCAACATGTGATGTTCCGGGCACCAAAGTCGTGCACCATGAACCGGGCAACATGTGATGTTCCGGGCACCATGGCCCGGGCACCATGAACTGGGCAACATGTGATGTTCCGGGCACCATGGCCCGGGCACCATGCGGAGCCGACTTCGTGGTCGGGTGTAGGGGTGCAGCCGACCTGCAGCAGTGGGCGCGTTGGTCGACGAGGTTGGTCGACCTGCACGGGGAGCCACTGCATGGGCGCCGACTTCGGGAGGGCGCCAACTTCGGCTGGTCGACCTGGGACGTCGACCAGCCCTTCTGGTCGACCTGGGACGTCGACCAGACCTTCTGGTCGACCTGGTAAGTCGACCAGACCCTCTGGTCGACCAGGAGTGACGTCGACCTAGAGCTGGTCGACCAGGGGATAGCGGTCGACCTGGGGAGGTCGACTGGATGTGGCCGTCGACTTGGGAGGTCGACCGGCACGTACCAGAGGCAGTGGTCGACCTGGGAGGTCGACCGGAAGTGGTCGTCGACCTGGGTGGTCGACGGGCACGCACTGGAGCCTCTGGTCGACCTGGTTGCCCGGTCGACCAGGTTACTTGGGTGACGAGGTGCTGCGAAGGCTTGCGATGGTCGCCCAGGTGGTTTTGGCGAGGACGACCTCGGTGATGGTATCCCGAGGTCGACGTGGTGCATCAGAAGCAGTCGTCAGCACGAAGTTGATATGGTGTGTGCGTTGTGCAGGTGACGAGGCACTGCACGCCAATCTTGTGCGAGCACCTGCGAAGTAGGCGCGCTGCTGTCCTGCGGGAGCAACGTTGGCGCGCCGTCAACCTGCGACGTTGGCACGCCGTCGACCTGCAGTGTTGGCAAGCCGCGACTCTGCGCTGCTGGAGCACGGTCGACCAAGTTGTGCTGGCGCGCGGTCGACCGTGCTGCGCTGGCAGTCGACCTGCTTGCATGCTAGCTCTGATGTAGTCTTGCCTTGCCAACTTCTTTGTATCATTGTTGTCAACTTTCTCTAGTGAAACTCTTGCCAAATTGCCTTATGAACTAGCAAGCAGTGTGTGCACTAGGAAAACGACTAAGGACCAACGAACGCAGAGATCACACGAGCACCCGTGCCTAGCCCGTAGTCTAGCTCCCGTTACTAGAGTTATCTCCGCAGAGCCGGGCAACATGTGATGTTTCGGGCACCATGGCCCGGGCACCATGAACCGGGCAACATGTGATGTTCCGGGCACCATGGCCCGGGCACCATGAACCGGGCAACATGTGATGTTCCGGGCACCATGCCCGGGCACCATGCACCGGGCAACATATGATGTCCCGGGCACCATGGCCCGGGCACCATGAACCGGGCAACATGTGATGTTCCGGGCACCATGCCTGGGCACCATGAACTGGGCAACATTTGATGTTGCGGGCACCATGAGCCCCACCATGAACTGGTCACCATGAGCCGGGCACCATGAGCCGGGCAACATGTGATGTTCCGGGCACCATGAGCGGGGCAACATGTGATGTTTCGGGCACCATGAGCCAGGCAACATGTGATGAGCAGAGACAAGGGTACATGGGGGAAAAGAGGAGGAAAGAGCATGGCAAAAAATTCTGTCATGATGGTGCCATATGCCCACTTGTTGCCCATAAGCTGAAAGAGGGATACGGGACATGAAAAGGACTAAAAGAGCACGGAATGAGTGATTGCGTAATGACGTCTTACGCCTACGTGGTGTCCGCGAGCTAAGAGAGGAGTACAGGGGGGCAATGTGAGAAAAGAGCACAGGAGCAAGGTTAGCGTGATAGGGTCATACACCCATTTGCTGACAGTCAACTGAGAAACAGGTACACGGGAAGAAAGAGGAAGAAAGAGCACGTGAGGAAAGTTGGCGTGATGGTATGCCTTCTTGCTACCCTTGAGCTGAGAGACAGGTGCAGGCGGGGAAAAAGGAAGGAATGAGCAAGGAAGGAAGGTAAGCGTGAAAAAAGAAGGAATGAGCACAGGAAAAAGGTTGAAGTAATGGCGTCATACGACCTCTTGCTGCCCGTAAGTTATGGCCTCTTGAAAGATGGGTACAGGTGGGGAAGGGGGGGAAGGGGGAGGGGCAAAGAGGAGGAAATGGGAAGAAAGAGACGGGTGCAGGTGGGGAAATGGGAAGAAAGAGCACGGGATGAGCATTGACGTGAAGGCATTAATGCACTATTGCTGCCCGTGAGCTGAAAGACGGGTACATAAGAGGAAGTCTCGTTGTCCTTACAAACCTATTACCAAATCAAATATTGTATGGTGCTAAAAACTGCATCAATTTGCAAAGAGACATTCGTTGTGTTAAAATGTTTCAACAATCTCACATGTGAAACATTCGTCTCAACGTATGGACGCCGACCTGATGGGAGAAATAAAAAGGAATAAATAATATCTTACTTGATTAGGGTGTATATAAGGTTATGATCACTGAAAAATGTTTCACCAACAAATACTCCATCATCAAACATAGCAGAATCAAGCCATGCATGATCAATAAGATAATTTCGAATAGTAGTAGGTGATCGAACACGTTGCGTCAATGAATATGTTTTCATGATTTTGATCATTTGGTTGGGAATGGACCCGTTGAAATCAAAGTTGAAATCACTGATGATAATAATATGTCCAAATAGAATTGTGTCAATAACGAGTTGCAAACATGTGTAGAAGAGTGAGATGAACGGGGGTTACGATAAACACAAATGGTGAATTGCAATGCCTTATACTCTTAAGCAACGAATTGTATTTTATCGTATATTTTTTTGAACAACACCACGACACGCTCGTCGTGGTAGGCGGCTAGTATTCCTCCAAAATCACAATCTTGTCGGAAGACGTTTAAAAATTTGAAAACTTCACCGTGAGTTTGGCTCGACAAAAGATGCATCTCAAATAACACTATGAAGTCAAATGATAAAAGCATAGCCATGGAAGTCATGCATTCGAGTCGGAATTTTCATATATTATGATAAACAAATCTGGCTTGTGCGGAAGTCGACATAATGACTTCTACTGGGACTGGAACAATAGGTGTTCGAATCTCGCGTAAACGTTGCATCTCTTTACTCACTTCTTTGTGCTCGGTAAGCATATGTGTACATCGACAACAACCGCCGTTACATCGCCAAAATGAGAGCGCAAAGTGTTCAATCGATCAGATAATAAATTACATAGGCTTCTTTTTTGGGTTACAGGCACCATCAAGGCGTTGTGAAAAGTATATCCGCTAATGTTAAACGCAGCAATACCCAAAGGAGCCAACCTCAATACTTTGATTGAACGTGGTTTGGTATGTATTGATGCACTAAGGGTACATTCCTGCCTTGACACTTGTGTCTCAATGCCTGGTTTCCCGAGTCAGGCCTGTAAATTTGCCCATCTACGCGTCACAAAGAAATGGATGTACTGCGACATCGAGCGACTCAGAGTGTTGTACACCTGTCGACTTTCCATTGGTTCCAAACCACTTGATTCGAGCGCTCTCAGTTTGGCGCCGGGCAGACAGGTTAAATCAGGTGTTCCAAATGATGTTGGGTCGAGTTGGCGAAACCACCAACCAACACAGAGCCACAATGCACCTACAACTACAACTACAAGCACAAAAGCGCAATGCATGCACAGCAGCGGCTCCCACTCAAATCAGCCATGGCAGAGCCCAGGGCTGTTCCCTTCCTCGTGCGACTCCTAGTCGCATGGATCTCTTTCTACTATGGCATCTTCTTGGACGCGGTCGCCAAGGGGGTTGCCGGCTTGCTGGAGTCGCATGTCTTCGACGACGAGAACTCGTCCACCGCCTCCTCTCGCAGCTCTTCCAGGTTCGCCGAGCGTGCAAGGAGAGGCAGCTTGAGGTGCCGGCGTTACGCGCTGCTGCTCGAGGACCTGCAGGGAATGGGCGACGAGGAGTTTAGGGACATTTATCGAATTAACAGGGCGATTCTTGCCTACGTGGTCTCGGGCATGAAGTACTAAATGTAGCCATACGTGGACCGATACTACATTACCCATGAAGTGGCAAACCTTCTGCCGATCAAGTACCTGGCGAGTGCACCCTCATACATAGACCTCTCTCACCTGTTCGGGTTGTCGAAGACATTGTGCCACGAGCCCGTCGATGTGTGTCTGATGCATTTCGCCACGGTCTTCAAACAACAGTGGGTGCACTTCCCCACCCCGCCGACCTTGACGAAATGGCCAGGGAGTTTCGCGCCGTGAAAGGGGTAACTGCGGTAGTGGGGGCTATTGACGGGACATACGTATACATAAAGGGGATGGAGGGGCACAGGCAAGAGTACTACACACAAAAGTCCGCATACGCCGTGCAGTTGCAGGTGACGTGTGATGCGCGCGGCATCATCTGGGACTTCCTTATCGGATACCCTGGTAGCGCACATGATCAAGGCGTGTTCATGGACAGTGCGTTACATGAGAGGTTGCAAAACGGCGACATTGCGCCGTATCAAATAGTCAGTGATGCAGCCTACGCCCTTCGAGATTTCTCCCTAACCCCCTGCATGCACCCCGCGAAGGCCTAATGGAGGATTGGGAGCAGTGCTTCAACTACTGCCAGAGCGCGACGTGCATGGTAGTGGAGCGCTGCATCGGCGCCTTCAAAGGCAGGTGGAGGCTCTTCGCAGGCCGCAATAACTGCACGCTGTGGCGCGTCCTTGCAGGGGCGTCTTGTTGTGTAGTCCTGCACAACATGTGTGAGACCATGGGGAACGTGAGGCGTGTCAATGAGGGATGGGCAAACTTGCCACGGAACCGGGATCCCTGGTGGACCCGCGGTGCAGCAGCAGAATTCAAATGGGAGCCGGCCGTGCCATGCAACCAGGAGACTCTCCGTGCAAGGCGGAAGAGGCTCGGTGAAGCGTTGGAGTCTTCCTACCTTACACGGCGTCGACGCGAACCCACTCTTCCTCGGCCTCGTCTGGAGTAGCTTCGCCACCTCCGTGATCCCCGCGGCGGAACCAGACTCCGTCGTCGCCTTCGGCGGCAGCCGGTGCGGGCTGTGTGGCCGCATCCGAGGGTGCTCCGTTGATGGTTGGTGGCGGCGGGGCCGGCCACTGGTTGCGGGCCCGTGCAATCTCGGCGTCCTGCTGCATCCAGGCGCGGACGAGCCCCTCCAGCTTTGCCATCGCATCCGCGTGGCAATCCTTGATGGTGTCGGAGACAAGCTTGGCCGCGGCCATGGTAGCCGTCTCCGCTACTCGCGGGCGCTTGGAGGGAGGCGTCACCAGAGGGGGGGCTGCACGGTCACAAGTCAAACGAAGAGTGGATTAGTTTCCCGATGTTGTTGTGCCGTATGACACGTTGTTTAAATGACAGTCATGTGGCACATATTTGCGTACAAACAAACCAAGCGAACACGAACAAAGCAATAGAAAATGGCTCACCCGTGAACGTCGGCGTTGAGGTGCATGGCGCGGACGTCGACGGCACCGCGAACCCGCACGGCGCATTCACGTGTGTGGCCCCACCGGCGGCGACGGTGTGCAGCGCCGCGACTGCACGGTTATTCTGAAACAACACCATGTACGGCCACCACGGCGGCTTACACACCACCCCGTTGCCAGACGCCTTGTCCGCCTTCTGCAACTGCTTGTACAGTTGGACGAGGTTGCGCCACTGTTTCTGCACGGCGTTGACGCCGTGGACCCATCCGGGGTTCTCGGTCTCGATGTGTCGCACGAGGCGGGCCCAATACCGGGATCCCTGCTTCCTCAGCAGCGGCTCCAGCTCATCCTTCATGAACCAACGGGCGGCAACGAGAATCATCCTCTCCGTGGGCGACCACACACTGCGCTTCATCGACATGGGGTCCCGGGTCTTTGGCGCGCGGCGAGGTGGCTCCCCTCCCTTAGCGGCGCTCTTGTCTCTGTTATATGGTCACAATACGCTCCAATAGGCTTCAATGTGCCTAGAACCAAAGATAGAGTGCGCAGTCAGGTTTCTGCACAGCGGCTTTAAACGTTCATAGCGATCTGGTCACAGCTCCAATCGACCTCAAACAACTTGGATCTGAAGCGTCTTAACGTGGCCTACAATAGGCAATTTAGATCGCACAATTTCATTAAGAATTGACGACACAACGTCAGATTGAACGAACGGCACTATGGCAGCAACATAGTCTTAGAAACACAATTGCAAACAGCTAGGAAGAGTTACGAGTTGGGAAGGACTCCCAGCTCCTACAAACCCCAAGAGCCGAGGTACAGTGATGGGGAACAGTGCCACACTGCCCCCAACCAAGAAGGGTCTCGAAACTACCCTCCACAAGGGCCTACACCAAGAGAAATGTTACACTACACATTGTAATGTAACCATCCTCAATATCTTGAGGTGTACCCATTTGGCCAGCTTCGAAATCACATGAAGCTTGCAACCAAGGCTCGGGTTCTTCATCACAAACTCAACCTTGAGTTCTTGATGGGTCTGCTGCACACACCTGCGACACGCCGAACGTTCGACACAGGACAAAATAGAAACCGCGCACGGGACACACGACAAAATAGAAACCGCGCGCGAGACACAAATGACCGCATTAACATGTGGCTAGCGATAACTCGCTATTGACTCGACACACGCTCGACATCATGACCCATCATACACACACCATTATAAGCATGAAATATATATTTATTTCATGCACTCATACCACTCCATGCACACACGCATGCACACACACGCACACGGACAACAAGCCGAGTGCAAACCGTAGGGTTGCACCAACAAACTCCCCCTCGGGTTGTTGGCCTCAGGAACTTGCTCTCTCAGTTCAGAGCCATCCCAGCCAGCTTGCAACACTTCCAATGCTGCTGCTCCACTAGCCTCTTGGTCATCATGTCAGCTGGCTGCCCCGTCGTCTTCACGTAACGCAACTCAACTTCACCCGCGGCCACCATGCTCCTTGTCCAATGCCACTTCACCCTCATGTGCTTGGTCAGGCCGTGTAACACAGGGTTCTTGGCTAGAGCAATGGCTCCCTGGCTGTCACAATAGAGTGGGGTAGGTCCTTGCTGCTCCTCCCCCAATTCAGCCAACAAACGCCGCTGCCACACAATCTCCCGTACGGCACGGAAGAGTGCCATGTACTCGGACTCCACCGAGCTCAAAGCTTGGTCAACCTGCTTCTTGCTCTCCCAAGCAGTTGGACCTCCACCAACACAGCAAATGAACCCTCCAACACTTGTCATGTCCTCTGGTTCTGATGCATAGGAGGCATCCGAGAATGCGGTGAGGAACAAACGCCCGGGTTCCACACCATCCGCACCCTTTTGGCGCCTTTGTGCCGCCGCCGAGTATTGCAGCCCAACGGTCGGTGTTTGGCCAAGGTACTTGGCCACCCTCATTCCAGCTGCTACCTGCTCCTCATTAGGGCATTGCACAACCCTTGCCAGCTGCCCGGTAGCAAACGCGACATCCGGTCGAGTGTTGACTGCCGCGTACATGAGGCTGCCCACCAATGAATGAAAACGGCGCCTCTCCTCTTCTCCAACACTCTCCTCCTCTGGTCCCTTCACACACTTGAACCCAGAGGGGAATGGAGTAGCCACATGGCCTTCACTCTGCCCAAAGTTGGCAGCCAATGCCTCCAGGTACTTCCGTTGGTGCACCCGCATGCACCGCTTCTCCACGTCTCGTTCGATGTGGAGTCCAAGGTAGAAGTTCACGTCCCCAAGGGACTTGCACTTGAACTTGTCTTGCAGCTTCAGCATCACCTCCTTCACAAGGTCAGAGGAGGGCGAGAAGATGAGGATGTCGTCCACGTAGACCACCATGAAGCTCCTCTGCTCCCCCTCGCCAAGCATGAACAAGGAGTGATCGGCCGTTGAGGGAGTGAAGCCGATCTCCTCCAACACTTCGCGCAGCTTCAGGTACCACTGCCTAGGGGCCTGCTTCAGCCCATAGAGGGCCTTCTTCAGCTTCCACACCCTGCCGGTGCCATCATCAAACCCCTCTGGCTGCGCCATGAAGATCTCCTCCTCGAGGATTCCGTTGAGGAACGCCGTTACGATGTCTAGCTGCTTCACCACCCAACCTTTAATTACGGCTCCCGCGAGTAGGGTTCGCAACCTTCACCATAGGAGCAAACAGCTCCTTGTAGTCCACATTCTCCTTCTGCTGGTACCCCTTGGCCACCAGCCTAGACTTGTAGCGCTCGATCTTGCCGTCGGCATCGGACTTGATCTTGAAGAGCCACTTGGACGTTATCGCCGTACGCCCCTCCGGTAGCTCCACCAATTCGTACGTGTCGTTCTCCTCAATGCTCTTCAGCTCGCTCTCCATGGCCTTCTTCCACTCCTCAGCATCATCACTCTCCAAGGCTTCCTTGAGAGTTGCTGGTTCTCCCGGCATCTCCACCGGAGAGAAGAACGCGAAGGCACACTCCTCGTACTCGCTCTCCTCGTCGTCTCCGACCATCATTGCCGCTCCAGCTAGGGCCGTCTTGCCCTGCTTCCCCGGCGCATCATAGGTCAGTCTATTAGGGGCTTGGACTCTCCTCTTGCCCCTTCCTTCCTCCTCAGCTGCAGGGACTTGAAGGCCTTGGCGCTGCTGCGGTGTGGTGCGGTTCCGTGGAGCGCTCGTAGTGCGGGAAGGGAGTGTCGGTGCACGCTCGCTCACTTACTGCACGTCCTCCTCTTCTTCCTCTGCATCCTTGGCCTCCTCTCCCCCATTCACAAGGGAAGATTGCCTCGTGGTGGTGCTGCCGCTGCTCAGCTCCAAAGGCAGCTCCACGTGCTCCAACCCGGAACTCTTCACCTCTCCAAACCGCACGCCTATTTTCGCCTCATTCTCCGCCTTCCAATCCTTGTACATGAAGTTCTCCATGAACTTGCAGTCCCTGCTCACCATGAACTTCTTGGTGAATGGGTCCCAAAGAAGCCACCCCTTGCTGTTTTGAGCCATGCCCAAGTGCACGGCCCACACCGCCTTAGCACCAAGCTTGTTGTGCCGAAGATGCTTAGGTACGAGCGCCATGCACATGCACCCGAACACCCGAAGCATATCCACCTTTGGCTTCCTGCCGAGTGGCCCCTACCCAGAGCTTGTAGGCTGCCTCATGTACCTGATGACTTGCACACGACCTGACCTCGCGTACCCTCTTAGCATCCTTGCTCGTTACGTTGCGCCTGGGAGACACAGGAGAGAGCACTGGGAGGCTGCTAAGAGGGTGCTGCGTTACTTGTGCAGTACATCAGGCATGGGGCTGGTGCTTGGAGGACACGACAGAGTTGTTCTCACTGGTCACTCGGACGCTTCTTGGGTGGACGACTTGGCTACGCAGCGGTCGTCGCAGGGTTACACCTTCAGCCTTGGCTCTGGTTCTGTCTCGTGGCGGTCCACCCGTTCTTCTTCTGTTCTCAGCTCTAGTTGTGAGGCTGAGATCTACGCCACGGCCATGGCTGCACAGGAGTTACGCTGGCTCACCTACCTGCTGACTGACTTGGGAGAGCGGCCTAGTTCTCCTCCAGTTCTGTACGGCGACAACAAGGCGGCCCTTGCCTTGTGTCAGGAGCACAGACTGGAGCACAGGACGAAGCACATTGCTCTTCGCTACTTTCTTGCTCGAGAGTTGCAGCAGCGAGGTCAGCTTCGACTTGTGTACGTGGACTCGAAGGCCAACACTGCTGATATCTTCACCAAGGCACTCCCGCCTAGTGATCATCAGCGGCACTGTACTTCTTTAGGCCTTGTGTCCACGTTTCCTCACTTGCTCACTGCTTGACATTCTTTGTACTGTACTTTATATATATCTTGTTGCTTGTCTTGTACTATATCTAGCACTGCATGTGAACTGGCCTTGTGGCCTTTGCTTGTGCTCGGAGTGTGGTGACTTTGTGATCCACCCTGGGCTTGCGTTGCTTTGCTGGACTGGTCTTGTGACCCTTTGTTCTCCCCCACTTTGCCTATGGGGGTGTGTTAAATTGTAATGTGTTATATGTTGGTAGGCTGTAGTGGGGTAGCTGATATGGGGTACAACCCCAACTAGGGTTTGCTACTTGTACCCAATTCTTCCATTCAATGCATCATTCTTGCCTAGTTCTCTTAACAGACCCGACACACTCCATCATCACACAACGAAAGCACACAAATAACAAACAATAAACGGTGACACGTATTAACAGTGATAAAGTTAAAAGACACAAATGACAAAAACGGCACGGACTACAAAAACATCACGATGACAATACCACAATGGAAAACACACAAACATAACAAAGATGGAGGACGACGCCATGGACAAGGAGTCGACGCATGCGGTACATACACAAAGTTAATGCACACAAGTATAGCTGCGATGTATCAAAGATGCATAATTGCTATTCACTCTGTCCTCTCTGTGCTTATGTTTTCCTTTGATACTTCTCTCCTTTCTGCTTCCCTTCTACCCCCTCTTTTCTCTCCATCCTCTTCCATTCCTTCTGTTTGCAGATTAGACCCTTGTGCCCTACACACAAAAAAAGGAGAGTACAAATTCGTTAAATTACAATTTGAAAATTAGTCAGACACATGCATGGATATGTACTTACACACATACTCATACATACACAACCTTGCATCCACTCTTACACGCAAACAATCGCAAACTTACAATCAAAATTTTGGAACGCCACTTCCGTCCTGTGCAGAAAGCAACAGAAGTACAAGTATAGAGAAAAAAAACATTATCCACTGAAACACGTTCGTATTATGCTTAAAAATAGTTATTTGAGTAAAAACAAACAAGAATGAAACAAGCAAACCATTAAACAATCAATATACAAATAATAAAACAAAGCAGTACCTACATGGCCACCACGACGCTGAGCAGT